GCAGCCCCAAGCCCCAGGGAGAGAGGAAGGTGTGGACACTGCACCCCAGCTCTCGCTGCCCGGAAGCAGCCTGGGCAGAAATCTGGGGAGGCCATCCAGGGCCAAGGAAGCTATAAGAGTATACACTGATTCCAACTTATTGCACACCTACTATGTGCTCGGCCTGGGCAGGAAACTGACTGAGAGTGGGCGGCTTGGGCCAGATGGCGGCTGGGAAGGGGTGCTGCTCGGGGCCCCAGGCCTCTGCTTCTTCAAGAGATGCCAGATGTCCAAATTCTTACATAAAACTTCTTTTAAATGCTGGGAGCGAATTCCAATTAGATGTATACATATTCCAAGCTGCCCCACAAACACATGTTAATAGGGCAGACAGGGCCCAGGGGTCTCCAGTTGGCGCTGCTCCTGCCTTTGAGAAGATCGCAGAGGGAGGGGGGAGCCGCTGAATGAAGCCACAGCTGGATCAAAGTTTGGACCTGCTGCTTTCCCTGTGTGACCCTGGGCATGTGACCAGCCCTCTCTGAGCCTCGGGTCGCTTCCTCAGGACCTGGAAGAACCGCATCTCTAGCTGGGGTTGCTAGGGGAAGCTAATCAGGCACTGGCAACAGTAGATGCTCAATAAAACTGTGAGCTGTCGGTCATGCTGCACAGAGAAAGGAAGGAGCTGTCTCTCCGCCCTCGCCTGGCCCCGGATGCCCCTGAAGGGGGTGGGGGGCCCAGGGGGTGCAGACCATCACCCTAAAATCCAGAGCTGGGGAGGGCGCTGGGAGTAACGCACAGGTGCAACAGGTGTCTCCAAGTGTTTGAGATTTGGGCAAAACGAAACAAATGTACAGCTTCTTCCCCAAAATAGGAAAATGTGGCTCCACCCCCATTTCTCTAAGGCTGCTGGGCTCTGCAGTTCACCCCTGTCCCCGCCACTCCTGACTGTGTCACACCTGACACACACACTCATTTTTGTTACCAGGTTTCCCTCTGCGGGCATCAGGGGGCCCTGGGCAGGCCCAGGTCCAGGCCGGACCACCGGCCCCCAGGCAGCCTGGCCCTGTGAGGGTGTCAGGACCTGGCCCTGAGCAGTTTTGCTATTACCCAAAGAACCTTCCTTGGAAAGCACCACACTCTCATCCATCGGAAAATTAATCAAAATGACACCTCTTGTGAACAAGATGTTTTGGCTCAGCAGAAAACAAACAGTGCTTTACAACAAATTATTGAAGCCGCACCGAGCCCCCAGGGCACCCGCACCCGGGGAAGGCCCGGAGCAGTTAGCGGTACACCTGTGGCAGCCACCCGGCCGGGACACCTGTGGCAGCCACCCGGCCGGGACGGGGCCTGGGTTCGGGGGACACAGTGACGCCTGACCTGGTCTCCCCTGCCCTTCTGGGGTTCAGGCTCCCAAGACTCTAGCTCCGTCTCAGACTTTCACTTCCGCAAACGACCTCCAGGTGCCCCCGGCCCTCTGTGTGCAGGGTCTTGGGACACAGTGCCCCACGCAGGAGACCTGGGGCCCTCGCCTGGAGCCTCTTTCCTCTCCCTCTCAGACAAGGCCCGAGAGCTCAGGGTGCAGGGTGTGTTTCCTGGCTGAGGAACTGAACTCTGGAACCTGCAGGGCCCCCCTGTGCCCTGTTTCAAACTCGTGTTCCAGTCTCAGCCAGACATCACTGGCCCTGAATACCAGAGCCCAGGACAGAGAATGAGGCCTGGAAACTTCTACAGGTGAGTCAAATTTGACCAAGTTATCCCCCCCGCCCCTATGAACCCATCCATGGCTTCCCATCGCCCTTAGAAGGCTCTTCAACTCCTCTGTGTGGCCCAAGGCCCCGCTCATTCCACCACCCACCCGGCTTCCCAACTCCTCCTCAAGCCGCATGCACTCGGGGGTCGCACTCCAGAGCCTTGTGCTGTGGCCCCCTCAGCTGGGAGCGCCCTCCATTCCAGCCTCAGACTGACTTCACTCATGATACTGGTCTCAGCTGACAGGGCCCTTCCCCCAAGGCCACCCCTGAACGCGCTCACCCAGAGCACGCCACAGCCATTTAGAAATGATGACCTTCTGAATTTGCTTAGGACTCAGTCCTCATCTGTATTCACCCACTAGACACAGGCTCTCTGAGGGCAGCGTTCACAGCTCGCTCCCCAGGAAGCCTGGGGTACAGTGAAGAATGTGGGTTCACATGCTCAGACCCAGCTGCGTGACCTCGGGTAGCCCCCCTGCACCTCTATCTCCTCAGCTGGAAAATGGGGAGAGCAGCGGCCCTGCCCGGTGGGGGCTGAGTTGAGAGCGGTGCCTGGTTCTGCAGGGCTGACTCTGTGTCCCCACACCATGACCCCTGCTCCCGCCAGGCGACGAGGGATCTGCCCGGCACCGGTACCTTATTTACCAGCAGAGATGGCTTCTGGGCCCCGCCAGCGCTCAGAGCCCTCCTTAGGAGACTCCTGGAGTCCTCTTCCCTTTTATTCCCGCTGCTTTGGTGGTGTCACTTAGTGCAAAAAGACCCCCACCCAGATCCAGGGTCCAGGCTGAGTGCCCTCCCTCTTGGGCCCCGAGGGAAATGCCATGGGAAACAGCAGTGAGTATCACCCCACGGGGACAGGACCGCTCGCCAGCATTCCCACGGCCCAGGCAAGGCTCCAGAGTCTCTGCCCCATGCCAGCCTGCTCCCCAGGACCTGTGGAGAACAGACGGGGGCGGGAGGGGGGCCAGGGGCTGTGAGGAGCAGCTCTCACCAGGGCAGGGCGAGGGGCCGGTGTGGGCTCTGGGGGGCTGATAGTGGTCAGAGAAGGGCAGCGCACGCCACGGGCACTCACTGAAGGGGCCTGACACCGGACAGCGTGGGGTCCTGGCCTCGGGGGAATCCCGGTGGGAGAAAGGGAGGTCATTAGGGGGCATCCTGTGAGGACCCTGCCCCCTGACAGTGGTTCTGGTGGTCGGCACTGGGTCCAGAAAGACCTGGCAGAGCCGAGCAGTACAGAGCCGAGGTTCCCAGCCCCACCACTTCCGGATGGGCAAGCCATTCGACCCTTCTCGCCTCAGTTTGCCCATCTGTAAACTAGGGACAATGACCAGACCTGCCTCCCAAGGTGGGATGTGAGGTCCCCGCAGAGTCAGGTGCCCAACACGTGTCCTGACGACCATTATTCTAGAAGGCCACTCAATCTGCACGCTAGAAACCCTTGCGCCTGTGTGTGTGTGCGTGCGTGCGTGCGTGCGTGCGTGTGTGTTGCTCACTGGCACTGCCTGCCCCAGACAGAGCCCTCCTGGGGCCGAGACCAACACGCTGGGGGTGCAGAATGACTCACCACCCCCGGGCTGCGACAAGTTTCCTGGAACAAGTCACCGCAGGTAGGCCTGGGGGGCCCCCCGCGTCTGGCAGAGATGAGGGGGTGCAGGTCGCAGCACGCCCGGCCACACCCTGGTGGGATCCTGCTGCAGGAGTGGGGGGGGACCCCCCCACTTCAGAGTCCCAGGGGCCTGAGTTCCAACCCCACCACTGACCACGTCCCTTTCCCTCTCCAGGCCTTGGTCTCTACCTCTAAATGGGGACACCGGTGCCAACCACATAGGGACAATTGTACAGATGACAGAAAAAGAATGTGAAGTGCAGAGACCAACGGCCCGGCAAGACATGGGCAGTCAAGGTCCTGAAGCCATCGAGGGACAGAGTTCTGTGAGACTGGGCACTCCTGGTCACCCAGGAAGTCACCATAACTCCAGGAGAGGAGGGAAAAGGGAACAGCTTATGAATTCATTGTCATTGGAAGACAAAAAAAGATGATGGCAGTTGTCCGTGAGGGGGAAATCCCCGAGGGCTTCTCAGAAGAGGTGGCATTAACTTGGGTTTTAAAGGATTAATAGGAGTTCCTAGACTATGAGATCTGTGAGGCCACCGTCTAGCTGTTACTGGCCTTGGGCAAGTCATTCACCAGGAGGTGGCAGGTGAACAGCCCAGGCCTTGGCAGGTGGAAGACAAGATGGCACAGTGGGGGGCCTGCCAGGGACTAGAAAGAGAATGCCTAATCAGGCGTCCCAAGTCACGTGGTTTAGGTAACCCTGCCTGGTCAGACAGAATGAGTCCACGTGGGCCAAATTCTGTCCACGGGCTGCAAGACTGCAACCCCTGAAATTTTCCACACTTCCATTGTCTCATCTGTCAAATGAGGGCAACGTTAACCAACGCCCAGCGTGCACCAGGATCGGGAAGGATAAGTGAGTCGACGCACATGAAGTGCCCAATGCAGTGCCCGGGATGCTGCAAACACTCAACACTCTGGCCTTCAAGGTAACACAGAGTGGAGACGTGGGGGCAGGGAGGAGGAATGGGGCAACCGAGGAGCGAAGGGGGACCCACAGCAGACCTCAAAGAGCAGTGAGAGACCCCACCGCGGGCAGGACAGGGTAGCTGGCTGGCTAGACACCTTGTCACACCAGGTTGTGTGGCCTCAGGGAAGTCCCTTCACTTCCCTGAGCTTCAGTCTCCTCTTCTAAAATCGGGGTGATGATAAAGGCACCTTCTTCCACTGGTGCGTGAATTGGATCCCATGTAACATAGCACGTGAAGCACTTAGAACAGACCCGACAGGAGCCGTTATTGTAATGATCAGAGCCAGCCAAGGGTGAGGCTCTTCATTCTCAGCACCGCGTGCACTGAGAGCTAGAAAATTCTCTGTTGTGGCGAGCGCTGCCTAGTGTTTAATAGCATCACTGGTTTCTACCCACTAGCACCCTGCCCACATGGACCACCGGTGCTCAGCAAATAGCAGGTGCTCAATTAATGGTGGATGAATAAGCAAGAGGTCACAGCAACGAAGCTCAAAGCTCAGAGCAAGAAGAGAGACCTCAGGGAGCAACTGAGACACCCAGCCACCTGGGCCGGCCTTCCCCGGGGCCAGCCAGACATGGTTTCCTGTCTGCAGAAATGAGATGTGCCCTCTGACCTTCCACTTCCTGAGCCCCTCTCCCACTCCAGGGTCTGGGAGGAGGAGGGCGGTAGGGAGATACTCACGTTCTTGAAGGAGGGGAGCCCCCTGGAGCCCAGCCACCTCCACCCCAGCAGGGCCTGAGGGAAGGTCCCGTGGTCCCGCTCGGCCTGGAGTACGTGGTCTTCCAGGAAGGAGACATGGTGTCCCACCATCTTGACAAAGGCCTGGGGGGAGGGGGGGAGAGTGGGGATACCACACCTGCCCGGCTCATTCCTGACTGCCCTCCCTCGGCCCCAGAGAGGCCGGACCCTCTTTCACGGCCACCAGCAGGCTCCTGGAGAGGTCAGGCCTGTGTGGCGGGGAGGCCACTGGTGGGAACGCAGACCAGAAAAGTAACAGCTCCCACTGCTAGCCAGGCGTGGCCAAGCCCTCCATGTGTCCTCCCACGTTCTCCCCATGGGGACCCTATTTTTAGCCTCTGTTTTACAGGGAAGGGAAACCAAGGCTCAGAGAGGTTGGGTCACCTGCCCAAAGTCACACAGCTGTCTCCAGGCCTCGCCCTCCCCAGGGCCTTTGCGCCGGCTCTCTCCATGCTGCAGGGCCCTTCCCTCTGTTCTGGATGGGATGCGTGCTGCTCCTCTGTCCAGCCCTGGACTGACTGTCCCCTCCCCAGAGAGGCCTTCCCTGACCACCTGCTGTAACCCAGACCCCGAGTCACTGTGGAGCTACTCATGTTCTGAGCCTGCCTCACCCCCTGAACTTCTTGTCCGCTCACAAACCAGCTCCCTCTAGAATGCGAGTCCTACAAGAGCAGGTGCTGAGTCAGTGCTGTTCACAGGCCAAGACAACGCCTGGTCAGCTGGAAGGGGCTCAGCTGGATGGCAAAGGCATGAAGGCATGTATGTGCGAATGACTGAATCTAATGCGTCCTCAGCAGAAAAACACTGGATGAGCCCAGGATGGTACTGCTGCCCGCCTGGGGTTCTGGCAGGGGCAGAGCCCAAAGGCTGAATAAGCCACATGAGGTATGTGTACATGCACATACGTGCACACATATGTGCATGTGCAGTGCAGGGGACAAGGGGCCACAGGCCAGAAGCTGCACGACCAGGGCTCCAGCCCTCGAACTCGGAGGCACATCTGGTCCTGAAACAGAAGAAAGTCCCGCAGGCCCTTCCTCCAGCCGATTCCAATTTCACGCTCCTTGCCCCAATACCAGGCCGGCGGCGAGTGAGGCCACGCTGAGGAATGTGGGCTCATGAGGTCGGACCCACCTCCCGAATGCCTGCCAGGGAGAGGCCAAACCTGGGCCACCCCAGCCTGCAGCCAACTAAGGGGGACACACACCCACCCACATGGTTGGGGGCTGGGGGACAGAAAGAGGGTGACAGCTGATCATAGCCACCCTGGCCGCTGGTTATGGAGTATGGGTGACTTTTCTGTATTTTTTTCTATACAGTGAAAACTTGCAACTTTCATTATCAAGAGGGAGGGAGGAAGGCAGGGAAGGAAAGAGAGAGGGAGGGAGGGAGGGAAGGAAGGAAGGAAAGAAGGGAGGGAGGAAGGGAAGGAGGAAGAGAAGGGAGGGGAGAGAAAGCCTCATTGTTTTAAACTATACTCGACTTCTAATGTTTTGGGCAAAGGCCCCAGCTTCAAGCAAGTCCACTCAGCACTGAGCAGCAGTCAGGAGCTCAGACCTTGGTGGTACCAGCTCCACCACTTCCTAGCTGTGTGACCTTGGCCAAAGCACTTCACTTCTCTGTTCTGCAGTTGCTTTTCTATAAAATGAGACTAATAACAGGACCTTCCTCCTGGGTCTGCCGAGCTCATACTAAGAAAGCACAATGAGTCCCTGGCTCAGACCAGGGACTCAATAAACAGTTTTTATGATTAAAACTGTTAAAGGGACAAGTTCTGGCCTGAGAGGTCACCTCATGCTTCCCAACCCCCCATCCCTGACCGCCCAGTGGGTCACACTGATCTGAGGACTGGGTGGTCTTGGGCTCCTGGGAAGCCCCGGGGGGCCTGTGGCTGGCTGGGCAGAGTGGAGAGCGTGCATCCCGCATGGATTCGGCCTCTCTCAGCCTGTGGGTGATGACCATGGTGACAGTTTGTCTTCACTGAACACCTAGGCATGTCAGGTACTGGCCTAAGAAGGACCCTGTGCGGGACAAACGGCACAGTCCTGATTTACAGAGGAGGAAACTGACCCTAGGAGGAGAGAGAGCTGAGGCCCAGGCGGTGCCTCTGAGTCACCCTTGGTAATTGTGGTCAGCAGAATCGTGGCCACCAAAACATGTCCATGGCCTGGTTCCCAGACATGGAAACATGTTACCTTACATGACAAAAGGGACTTTGCAGATGTAACTAGGGCTTCTGCAGGGGGGCGATGATCTGGCTTACCCAGGTGGGTTGGGGTTATCTCAGGGGCCTGCGGAGAGGGAAGAGGGAATGGGGGGACCGAGTAGGACAGAGACTGGAGATGCTAGGCTGTGGGTTCTGCACACCAAGGGAGGGGCCGTGAGCTGAGACATGTAGGTAGCTTCTAGATGCTGGACATGGCAAAGGCATGGATTCGCCCCCGGGGCCTCCAAGGGAAGCCAGACACCCCCACTGTGGCCTGTGAGACGCATTTTGGACTCCTGGACCTGTAAGATAATGAGCTCACATTTTAAGCCACCAATTTGTGGTGGTGGCAATGGGAAACTGCTAAGGTAATGCTTTGTCGTCCTGTCTCTCCTGCTAGAATATGGCCAGGACTGTGTCTGTCTTTCTCACTACAAGTGGTGCATAGTAGGGCCACGATAAACATCAGTGAACCAGATGCTAAGGAAAGAATCAGGCTTGACAGCTGGGCCGACCCAGGCAAGGCAAGAAGCAGGGCTGCAAATCTTCGTTTTCTCCCCTTTCTTCAACGCGTAGAATAAAATTCAAATGAATCAGCTATTCCAAGGGCAAAGTTTTAATTATATTCGTGCCTTCTCTGCTGACGAGAATGTTAATTCTCCACCAGCTCCAGTGCTGACTGCCATGCTCCCTGCCTCTGCAGCTCGGAGGGGCCCGTATCCCCTCTGTCCAGGTAACTACTCCTTACCTGCACACTCCTTCCCAGCCTCCGGGTCCTTCTCTGTGCAAGGAGCCAAGAGCCCAAGCTGAGGGCCACAGTTCAGTGAAAAGCTTATGCTTCAGCAAATGGAAGTTGAGTGCCAGCTTCACGGAATTAGCTGTGTGACTCGGGGTAAGTGGCTTACCTCTCAGAGCTTATACCCTCCTTCGGGAGGTGCATCAGGGAGGTTACTGGCTTGCCAGGGCAGTGAGGAGGAAATGAGATGCTGTGCGGCTCAGCCCACACAAGCAGCAGACGGGGGAGAGAGGCAGCAGTGAGACAACAGGGCATGGTGGGGACTGTGGTAAACTAGAAAGCACATGCGTCATCTGAGGGGCAGCTGCCACCAGCTCTGCAAGATAGCCGGGGCGTTGGAAATGTTCCATTTCTCAATTTGGATCTTCACAGCCTAATGTTCAGATTTTTATATAAAGTACCCACATTTTTTTAACTAGGATACTGTCTGTAAATTTGCATATGTCGTGTTTCTTAAACGCCAAGTGAGTGCAGGCCCCCATGCCCTGCACTGGGTCTAATGCCTGACCCTTGCAGCCAGGTCGGTATCTTGGAAGACAGGATGGAAGAGCCAGAACAAGACCCCGGATCCCACCGAGCAGCTCATTTTCCTGGACACACCTCCAGCTGGTCCACTTTGGTGTAGATGCCACGAACTTCCATCACCTTGGCCTTAAGGAGAGGGATGTCTTCCTCCAAGATCTGCGACGTGTCACTCCTGATCTGCAAGGAACAAAACAGCTCCTCAGGCCCCTGCCCTGTCACTTTGTCCTCCCGCCAGCCTCTGGGAGCTGATGGCTGAGACACTGAGTGGCACCTGCCCAGAGTCCCAAGTGGGGACCGACCCCACCGCCCCTTGGGACCCAGACCCAGCCAGGGATTATTCACTGAACCGCAGATTAATCATCCCCCCCCCCTCCAACAACCACCACCCCCAGCCGCAAACAAAATTTCTTCATTTCCTACACATCAGATCACTGAAGTTGAGGTGAGTTGAGCTTTCACTGCCCTGGAATTAATAATGCTAATGAGTTAATCATTAACATTAATTACGTTCATGGAAAATACAACTTGGGCTGGGTGCCTTGTACCTGCAGACACGGTGCTGAGTGTTTCCCGTGCACCATGCCCCTCATTTAATGTTCAATTGCTTCACTTACAAGGACCCCGGAAGTGACTGTGAACTTCACTTGCCAGCACCTTCCCTTGCTCCCTGAAATTGGACACTTAAGCCTTTGTTGTCCTTAGGAGGCGAGGACCAAGCCCAACCCTTTGGTGTGTGAGACAGAAATTCCACATCCACATCATCATGTTGTCCCCATGTGGACAGGCAGGATGCACCCAGCTCGCAGGTTTATAGAACGTTTGAATCCCTGGAGGGGAGCTAGTCAAATGCTGATTCCCAGGCCCCCTCCAAGTCTGTCCTGGTTTCTCTGTTTTCAGCCAGGCTCCAAGGCTATGCTGGAGCGGGGGTCTGGGGACAGTCAGAGAAACACCAGCGGGCACTCTGGGAGCTGGACTTGGGACTCAGATTGGAGTGTGAATTTAGCTCTACCCAGCATGAGCTGTGTGACCCTGGGGAAGTCGCTGCACCTCTCTGAGCCCTCCTTTGCTTCTCTGCAATGATGACGGCCCTTGCTTTTGGAATGTGGTGAAGACATTTAACAGAGTGTTTGGTGTGGAGTGGACAGGCAGCTTCCAACATGGTCCTCAAGGGTCCCCACCTCCTGGTGTTCACCCGCTTGCGTGGTCCCCTCCCCTGGTTGGTAGGCTGCACCTAGAGCCTCACTTCTAACGAAGAGGAGTTGATGGAAGCGATTCTCACCGCACTGACACTAGTGTACCAAAGACTGTCGCTCCGCCTTGCCGGCGGCCTCTCCCTGTTGCAGGCTTGCTCGTGCACGGTCTCTCTCTCTCCCCCTCCTTTCTCGCTTGCTCTCTCGGTTTGTTCGCTTTGATGAAGAGGCTAGCAACTGGGGGCTCTAGTCGACCTCCAGGGAGGGAATGAATCCACAACCAATGACTTTGCCTGGACGCAGTCCTGCCCCTTGGGACCCCTGAGTGGACCGCAGCCTGGGAGACTCTGAACCACAGCACCCAGCGAGGTTGCACCCAGGCTCCTGACCCTCAGACACTGTCAAACCGAAAAGAGCTGCTGAAGTCACTAAGGGTGAGAGAATTTGGTATGCGGCAACAGGTAAGTAACAAAAGGGGACAACTCAGGACAAAATTTTAATTTTAAAAATGTGTTTAGAAACTGTACCTGTGTTTCCTCCTCTTTCTGCCTAAGTGCAAGAGACTTCTGGGGTTCTCCTGAAACTCTGTCCCTGCCACCATCAGGACACCATCTTCGTGCCCAGCGTTTCTTGGAAGCCAGCCCATGGTGCCGCGGGTCTGGAGGGCTCCCCTCCTCTGCTCACAGCACAGCCACCTCCCCAGGCACCTGGCTCCAAGCCCACTGTCCTGCGGTACACTCCCTCCCCAGGCCCTGACCCCATGAGGCTGAAGATCATCCTGAGAGGGTGGCATCTGGCTCAGGCTGCCCGGTCCCAGTCTCTGCCCTGACCCCAAGCCTCAGTTTCCACATCTGTAAAGTGGAGATCACATTGGTGCTTCTCTCAGAAGAATGCTTTGAAGATTAAAGAAGATCTCCTATGTCTGAACGTGGCTGGCAGATGTACCTGATTGGGCTCACAAAGTGTTTCAGTTTTTAACTTTGATTTAATGTCCAACTTAAAAATTCAAACGAGGGTCCTAGGAGAAATAGCCGATTCTAGGGTTGGGGCAGGGAAAAGTGAAGCATTTGGAGCATCCTGCAGTGCCAGAAAATAAGAGTGTTTTCTAAAAAAGGAAGGACGGGAGCGTGACCACGGGAGCTGGGAGGCGAGCGGAGGGAGCCCAGGGGCGGGGCGGGAAGAGCGCGAACAATGAAACAAGTGACGTCAACACTGGACGAGACCCCAGAGTGTGAAACGAAGACGACGCAGGAGTCTCCGGAGCACAGGATGCGGAGGGGAGGTGGGGAATGTTTCTGGGGGAACGCTGACCAAGACTAACGTCCCAGTGATGTCTTGTGGGGGTCACTTGCCCCCAGACGATGTGACGAGAAGGCACCGCACCTCTGCAGCATTCTCTCCTGAACCCCATGCGCCCCGTGTGACCACAGAACAACAGGAGACAAACCCAACCGGAAGGCCTTCTCCGAAACACCGGACAAGTACTCCTTCAAACCGCCGAAGTCCAGACAGGCGGGGAGCGCGGGACACCGGCAGAGACGGCCAGCCCGGGACCAAGGAGACTCGACAACCCAGGTGATGCGGTCTCCAGGGGGCAGGGTCAGCCTGGCACAGGAGCCGGACATGGGGGAGGGGGGGAGGAACTGGTGAAGCTGAAATCAAGTGTGGAGTTTTATAGGTAGCAACAGACCACTAAATGGTTTGGGTTTTTTTTTTTTTAGGATTTTATTTATTTATTTTTAGAGAGGGGGGAAGGGAGAGAGGGAGAGAAACATTGATGTGAGAGAGAAACGTCAATCGGTTGCCTCTCGTACACACCCTGACCAGGGACAGAACCGACAACCCAGGCATGTGCCCTGACCAGGAATCGAACCAGTGACCTTTCACTTTGCAGGATGACGCACAAGCCACTCAGCCACACTGGTCAGGGAAGGGCACGTGCTGGTTTTTTAGTTTCAACAAAGGTACATGGTGATGTGAGATGTTAACAAAGGGGAGAAACTCTGTACTATTACCTCTGCAACTTCTCTGTAAATCTGAAACTATTCCACAATAAAGCACATAAATATGACTTAAAACTACTGAAGTGGTTAAGTTTGGATGTACAACCTCTCTTAAGAATCAGCAGCTTTAGCCACACAGGGCCTACATCCCCCCAGGTATGGAAGGCTGCTCCCCCCAGGTGGGACATCAGCTCTGGCCTCCACAGTCGCCGCCCCTCCCTGATGCCTCGTTTAGTCCCCTGCGCTCAGGTCCACGGGCGGCCTGGCTCCCGCAGGCAGTGGTAGGGAAAAGTCCTAGATTTGCCCTTGTTTCCTCAAGGCTGTATCTGCAGACAGAAGCCCAGAGCAGATAGCTCAGGGCAAGGTCAGAACACAGTGGAGCAAATGCAATCTGTTCTTTTCGTTAATTTGTAAAGAAACATATTGGGGGCACATGTGAGAATCAGGAGGAATTGGTCATGGCAACCCACAGGACAGAGGGGACCACTGTGGAGCGGTGGTGGGGGGAGTCACGGAGCACCCCCTGCCTCCTCTGAACGCCAGGGAACCAGAGAACAGAGGGTCTGTGGCCACGCCCAAGGCCCCTCCCTGATGACACTTCTCCCAGAAACGGCAGGTATTAGGGAACTACCCACACCTGTGGGGGGTGGGGGGCAGGCTGTGTCCTTCAGGGGAAAGGAGAGGGGAATCTTCAAGGGAAACAGACCTTGTGAAGAGGAACTGTTTGATCTTCAACATTATTTTACAGGGGATGAAACTGAGAAAAGGGAAAGCTCGAGGAACTGGCCCAAGGCCACAGCACTATAAAGTGGGCCATGGGAGACTCCCGTCCGGGTTGGTCGGCAGCCGCCCCCAACACAAGACATCCACCAACGTGCTCCACCCATGTACAGCCAGCCTGCATCGTGTCTCAAAAAAGCAAATAACAAAAAGAAAAGCACAACCAAGTTATGTGCCAAGAGGTAAAATTAAGACTTTTCCCTTAGAAACCCAGACTTCTGGCTGCCGAAGACCAGGACACACCGAGGCCAAGTTCCACATGGGAACAAGCAGCTACAGCTGGGTGACAGCTGCCCCCTTTGGTTAACCACAGTCCCCACCACTCCCTAGTGTCTCCCCAACATGGTGTCCATGGGCGCACTGTGCACTTTTCTTCTTATAGGGGAGTCAAAAGAAGAGATCCATTTATTTTTGCACGCCCAGCCCACTACACATGATCACATCACAGGCGTCTGAGTTTGCGTGTTTTGCACGTTGCTGAGAACAATGAAGAGGTATGAGTGAGAACTCAAAGCTTTTCAAGCCCCTGCCAGAACAACCCCCAGCCAGGTTTATTGGGCTGGGGGCCTGGCAGGTCCTTGCCGTCCCTCCCCCAGCCTGTTCTCCCCCTCCCCCACAGCTGGCCCCCAGAGCCCCGACGTCTGGGCAGCGGAGGTGGGGTTATCACAGAGCAGAGACAGCTGTCCAGGATGATTCAGGGCCCCCAGGAAGGAAAGCCAAATGCACTTGACCCAGGAACACACACCAACGCCAAATGCAACTGCTGGGCTGAGGCCAACAGGAAATCTTCTCCATTTATGTGAGCAAAGGAAGAGTCTGCTGCCTGCCAGGAGGTGGGCCCAGGGCTGCCGTGGTTTCAGGGGGCCTGGATGTGCTGCCCACACCCCCCGAGGGTGCTGAGCCGGAAGGCTGTACCAACCCCAGTCCATATATATATATATATAACCTCGGCGGTGTCACCGCCCTCTGGGGCTCTGATGGGGGTGATGATAACCTCGGTAGCTGCTGTGTGGGGTCACGTACTACATGGCAGGCAGTGTGCTAAGTAATTATTTTTAACCGAGTGCAAATCACAGTACAGTGCCCAGGCCTGATTAGCCAGCTCGATCGATCTGCATGTGTGTGTACGTCTGTGTGACCTCCACCTGTGGCAGCGCACACGCCACACCGTCACCCCCAAAGGCTCCGTCCGGCCACTCCCCAGGCACGGCACCCTCCCAGCGCTCACCACTTTCTGACTCCTGTCACTGTTAGTTAGCTTTGCCTTTTATTTTTTAAATCCCCACCCAAGGATATGTTTATTGATTTTAGAGGGAGAGGAAGGAAGAGAGAGAGAGGAACATTGATCAGTTGCCTCTCCTACGCGCCCTGACCGGGGATTGAAGCTGCAACTTTATGGTGAATGCAGCCTTGGAAATGATGCTCCAATCAACTGAGCCACCCCAGTCAGGGCAGTTTTGCCTATTTTTGAATTTCACATTAAAGGAACCTCGCAGAATGGATTCTCGTGTGTGGCTTCACTCGCTCAGCATCACGTCTGAGAGTCATGACACTGTTGTACACAGCAGTTCACTGCTTCCTGTGCCTGTGTGTGAACAAACGACCATTTATTCTCCCATTCCTATGCCGGGGACATTTGAGCTGTTTCCGGTGCAGGGTGCCATGGACCAAGCTGCTAGGGACCCTTGTGTTAGAGTCTTTGTGGACACTTGTCCTCGTTTCTGTCGGGTGATTGATTATCTAGGATGAGAATTGCTGGGATATAGGGTGAGTGTACGTCTGACTGTAAAGAATCCCCGGAACTATTTCCCAGAGGGGCTGAGCTTGTTTGCGTTTCCACCAGCAAACGAACGACCTGCTAGTCCACATCCTCAGCCACACTAGCTGCTGTCTGTCCCTTTCACTCCGGCCATTCTGGTGGACAGAAAGCGTGCATCCCGCCTCGGGTATTCCTCATGGTGACCCTTTGGACACGACACCAGACAGAAGGTTAAAGGTACCCACGAGTTCCTGACATTCCTTCCAGGAAGGGGGCAGGCTGGGCGGGCCTGTGTCCTCTCCCCTCAGATAGGGGTGAGGTATGTGACTGCTTTGACAAAACCAAACCAAACCAGAAGTGACCCTGCGTCCATTTCCATAGACAAGCCTCCAGAGACTGGCATCTTCTGCTTCCTGTCAGTTGGGACGCCCGCTCTGGGGGCCAGGCCACCGTGCTGTGAGGCTGTCCAAGTGAGACACGTGGAGAGCTGAGGAAGAACAGGTGGGCCAACCAGCCCCCCAGCTACGCCATCCTCCCAGCCCCGACATCTGGCAAGTGGGGAAGGCGCCACCTTGGGCATCCCCAGCCCAGCAGGTGCCACGGGGCTCAGACCCACACCCTGAACAGGTTGTTGCTTTCCACCACTAAGTTCTGGGGTAGTTCAGTGTAGCAATGGATGGTCAGAACCATTATGTCTGCTTCACAGAGGAGGAAATAAAGGCACAGAGCGGTGACGCGCTGTGTCCGGGCCTCACCGTGAGAAGACTCAGAGCTTGAAGTGGCAGCAACTGGCACTATATCCAAGGTCAAAACAAGTCACAGGCACAGAGTGGCAAATTCCAGTCTGAGCGAGTGATCGAGGACAGGCCGACAGAGGAGTCAGTGCATCAGACAGGAAGCCGGCCTCTCACTTTGAACGGCCTGATTTTTATCAGAAATGTCGCAGCTGCTCTCTGGACCAGGTACCACGGAGCCTGGCATCTCTCAGGCCTCTAACTTGATCAGTGTTTCCAACTGCCAAAGCGGGGATCCAGGCAGTGGTCCACAGGGTGATGTCACCTGCCCCCAGAAGTCCCCACTCACCCCTAGCTCAGATCAGGAGAGAAACAGGGTCCGAGCCGGGGCTGAGAGCTGGACACCTCTCCCAGGGCCGCGGAGCCCCCCACACCCGGATACAGACACACCAGGCATCAGCTGCTGGGGCCCAGAGGACCCCGAATCCAAACCACATCAGCACAGAGCGTCAATGTGGGGGTACAAACTCCAAACGCCTCAGGGGCCACCGAAGTGCACACTAGGTACATCCTCTCGATGCAGACACGCTTGTTTGCACATAAACACACTGAAATCACTTTCATGTCCACGGGAAGCCCACTCTCTTCCATTTCTTGAAACACGGGACCATTGCCCATTCAGGTTTTATTGGCTTGCTTTCAGCAGGGCCCAAGCAGAGAAACGTCCTCGACCTTAAAACACACCAGCAACTGATGGATGTACCTAGCAGGGGACTGTGGAGTCAGGGAGGCTCCCATGGGGACAGTGGGGACAGCAGGAAGCCGCCACAGGGACAGCCACTGTGCAGCTCTAGCTGATGCTGGCCGGGTGGGAAGGGCAGCCAGACCTTTGTTTTCGTAAGAAAAGCCAGAAATCCAGATTTTTTGTATGACATTCTATAAATGTCAGCAGCACGTTCCTTTTTTTCCCCCCAGAAACATCCGCTATCTCTGCAGGCAGGGAGGGGCCTGTGGGTCACCTGTGTGACCTCCTGTGAGAGTCTTTGCCTGCGTGAGTCTCCAGGCTCCCGGTTTGAGGAGGAGCTCCCCCAGGTGGCCTGTGGTCTGGGGCCGCCCAGTGGCCCAAACACTGACCTGCCAGCCCAAGGAGCCTGGGCAACTTCCAAGGCAAGTGTGGCCTGGGTCCCTGTCCACCTGTCCAAGCTGACTCCCACCTACAACTGTCCTCCAGAATGGTCAGCGGGCCTCCTCTCATAGGACGGGGATGGGCAAGGCCTTGTCAACAAAAATGTCTCTGGGTCACCAGTCCACACCCATGCCGTCTTCCAAATTCGCCCCCTCCCTGACCACGCACACCGTACCCACAGGCCAGTCCTTCTGCCGACGCCCGCTCTCCCCAGTGGCTGAATTCTTTCTGTTGCTCCTTCAACACCCCCCCCCCCCAAATTAATCCCTGCCTGTTCTGCAAAGCCTTTCCAATTTCCCAGGCAGAATTAACGCCTCTGCTTTTTTTTTTTTTTTTTAAAGCAAACTAAATCTTAGGATTACACGCCTGGGTCTAGTTTCTCCTAGACCCTCTTTCTCTTTTCAAAACCTCTGCAGCCTGCCTCTGCCCCTGATCACGCCATTGTGACAGTATTTCTGACCTCGGGGGCAGTGACCGCAGAGAAACTGGGCTCCCCCGACAGACTGGGGGCTCACGGGGGACGGAACCAGACTGGACTCTTTGCATCCTCAGACTGACACGGGACCCAGGCAGAGAAGGTGTGATGACGTAGCTGGTGATGAAGAAGGGACTCTCCAGGTCGTTCAAAGACCGTCTTGTTGCCAAGCCCCCAGCTGAACCCCTGCCTGAGCTGAGACATTGGCTCTCAGGAGAGAAACACACAGGCCCTTATGGGAACAGGGCTGTCTGTTCACCTCTGTGTCCCTGGCCTGGCACCAGGTGGGCCTGTTGAATGAAGGGGGACAGCACGGTGCCCATCATGCTGGGCTGCTTCTAGGGGACATGAGGTAACACGGGTGCCAGGCACAACGTAAATGCTGAGTCATCGTCAGGGCTGCTGTCGCTGTCACTGCCTTGGCCCCCGAGAAGACACGACTTCTCGGGGGCCCAGTGGCCTTCCCCAGCTCCAGAGACAGGCAGGGACACAGAGCTGCAGCCTCTGAGCTTCCTGGCAGAAGCCTCCATCTCTGGGTGCTGGTTTGCCTTTAATAAGCTTGGGAACTTCCAGAAGATTCTATCATTGCTGCTTGGGGCCTCCCACCTGCTGGCAGCAGTCCTGGGGACACGAGGTTCTAGAGGAGATTTCTACAAGATGTGGAGGGGAGAGCTTGTCTTCTGGGCCTGAGTTACCACGTCTGTGTTCTGCCCCACCCAGCCAAGGGGATCCAAAAAAGATGCAAATAACCAAAAATCAAAAAAAAGAACAGGGTAGGAGGCCAAAGTGGGGAGAGCAAAAGGATTCAGGGAAGAACCCGAGGCCCACCCAGCCACAGGCTGCGGCCTGGGCAGCCGGCTGCTCCTGGGCCTCACAGGCCTGGAGCCATTTCCTGGCCGGCTCCATGTTTGCCTGGCCGACTGCGCAGAGCGGAGGAAAGTTAAATATAGTCTTAGCATCCCCGCTGAGCGGCTCCCCGCATCGGTGTCCGAGAGTGCCACCTGGTGGCCCGAGTCTGGCTCCTCCGTGGAATGAAAACCATCTGGGGGGAAGGAGGTGGCCAAGATGGCCGCCTGGGGACGCCTTGGGGTTGGGAGTGGGAGAGAGTGGGAGACACAGTGTGCGAGTGGCTTTCCTCTCGCCGCTGTCCCTCCCTTCCGGACGCTAAATCCCCACCCGAGAGGCTTCCCCAGAGGACCCCCAGGAAGGGTAGGCCTTGGGCCTGGGCCTCCACCCACGCCTCCGGGCAGATGCTCACCACGTCAGTCAAAGCGCAGAATGCCTCCAGCCTCACCAGCAGCCCCTCGATGGTCTCCTCCACCTCCTTCGCCTGAAAGGAGACCATATCCTGGAGATTAGCAAGTGGTTTCCAGGGAGACAAACGCCCTTCAATTAAGAAAAAATAAAAAAGCAACTAAATCTTAGCATATCTGCCCAGTTCCCTCCAGACCTCCCCTCCCTTTTCAAAGCCTCTCGTAGCCTCACTCTGAAACGGTGATAAGTGGACAGTGACCTTGACACCTGAGGACGGGTTAAAGCCCGTGACCAGCCCCCTCTATGCGGCTTTCCAAAGACACGACAGAAACACCAAAAGGTGACCACAAATTCTATCCCCTAAGTTACTGCTGCTTGTTTTTGAACTCCGTATTATATAAAATCGCAGTTACACCTCATGTATTTGCTTAGAATTTTATTCCTGAGATTCACCCACCGTGTTGTATGCAGTTGCTTATTCATTGTCACTGTCATATAGTCACATGTGTCATGAATATCCCACATTTTTTTTATCTGTTCTACTTCTGATACATCTGGATTTTTTCCACTTTGGGGTCAGTATGAATAGTATTACTATAAATATTCTCAAGTATGTCTTTTGGTGAATACACACACATTTTGATATATATACCTGGAGTCTGAATTGCTGGATCATAGTAGTACAATCAGTTTTCCAAAGAGGATGTACCAATTTAGACTCTTGTGAGTGACCTATGAGACTTTCCACACTTGGTATTTTCTTTCTTTTTCATTATAGACATTTTAATGATGGGGTGTAGTGGCAAAAAAAATGAAGGAAGAAAGAAAACAAAGAGCAACAGGAAATAACAACGCTACCCTTATCATCCCCATTGCTCAGATGGTCAGACCAAGGCTCAGAGAGGTGAGGCAGCCTGCTGAAGGTTGCCCAGCTAGCCCGTGGTGGGGCCAGGACTCCCACAGAGGTTTGAGTCCACAGCCTCAAAGCCTGTTCTTATAAATCCCGAGAAAGGCCTTCTGAGAAACGCCCTGGAGTGCCCCGGCCAGGTAGCTCAGTTGGTTACACTACAGCATCATTCTGATTCACCAATGTTGGGGGTTCAATCCCCAGTCAGGGTGCATACAAGAAGCAACCAATGACTACATAAATAAGTGAAACAAATCGATATTTCTCTGTCATTCTTTCCTACTTCTCTCTCTCTCTCTCAAATCGATAAGTAAAATTTTAGCCCTGGCTGGTGTGGCTCAGTGGATTGAGTGCTGGCCTGGGAACCAAAGGGTTGCCAGTTTGATTCCCAGTCAGGGCACATGCTTGTGTTCCGAGCAAGGTCCTTGGTGGGGGGTGCATGAGAGGCAACCGCACATTGATGTTTCTCTCCCTCTCTTTCTCCCTCCCTTCCACTCTCTAAAATAAATAAATAAAATCTTCAAAAATAAATAAAATCTTTTAAAAATAAATAAATAAATAAAACACCCCAAAGGGGAAACATGAATCGCAGAATATTTGGGATGCAAGCCTAACCTTGTAACGGCACCGAGACACGCATGAGGTCAGCAGGGGAAGGCCTGCAATGTGTACTGACCTAGGAATAGTTCGGGGATATTCTTACACTAAAGTGTTATTTGTTGTTTATCAGAAAACCAAGTTTTCACTGGGAAATCCTGTCGTTTCTTCGGAAACCGTATTCACAGTGTTTCCTTTTCCCTGGAGAGTGGGGGCTGCAGGGTCTGACAGGGAGACTTGAAGGCTTTCTATGTTTTTTGGAGGGTCCCAATCTCAAGCTGTCATCAGAATGTGAGAGCAAGGCACAGCCTCTGGGTCCCATGGTGACTCCCAGGTGCCCAAGCAGCCGGCCACCAGCCGCCATCAGGAAATAGGCCCCGGAGGTGCCAGAGCTTCCCATTTTCTAAGAGACCAGAAATTCTCATCTTATGGTACATGTCCCAATTTTTGAACGATGGCACAAATTCAAAATAAATAATTCTTTTAACGCTCCGTGTGCCAACCCAAACATGAGTGGGAAAGGGCCTGCTCGTTTGTAACCCCCGTTTTCATCACCTCGGTAAAAACTGGTTTGAACCTTTTCTCCCTCAGTATGGACAACTTCCATGACTTATAAAATAGCTGGGATTTTTATTCTCTGTTTGTTGTTCTAATGACCAAGCATCTAGAAAGAGCCTTCACCTAGACCATGAACCTCTTTCTCTGGCTTCTCAGGTCATATCGTTCTGCTCCACAGAGGTGACACCAGACATTTCTGAGCAGGCCTGGCCCCGCCCCCCACACCTGAAGGCTCTCTCCCCGCCCACTTGTCCCGGAGAAATGTCTGCACAGTGCCAGAGCCGGCGGCGCGGGCTGTCACCACAACAAAGTGAAACGGCTGCGCAAAGAGGCATCTTTCCGGCTGCAGTATAAATAGCCCCCAGTTGCAATTTTAAGCTCTGGAACCTTCATCTCACAGCTGGGACTATTTCTGCGCCTGAACGGGGGAGGCTCGACACGGGGAGGCAACCTCGGTGGAGGGGGGAAACACACAGGAAGTTCTCCCCCCAAATTGTGGTTAAAAAATAAAGCTTTAAGGCACTGAGGGAGAAAGCAGATGGGAGAGGGTTTGGCTGTTCCTTCTGATGGGAAGGGAGACCAGGGAGATGGGAGGAGGTAGGGGCGGGGCGGGAGACCCCTGCGGAGCACGGTGTGGACCCGCCCCAGCTGGACCAGCGGCCGAAGCTCTTTGCTCAAAGCAAGCACACGGCCACCTGTCCTGGCACGTGCAGAAAGGAAGTTAGTCGGCCGTGGGTTCAAATCCTGTCTCCTCTCTTGCCAGACATGGGACCCGACCCCAAGGGCATAAGGGCTGCATTTTGGTGGCTCCCCAGGGACAGGAACTGCCACCAGGCGGGGCTCTTGGGAGGTCAACCTGAAAGAAGAAAGGCGCCTAAATCCTTTAACGGGACTGCTGCCACGCAGCTGGTGCTTTCTGTCGGTCTCTCAGGAAAACAAGGGCGAGGCGCCATACGGATGGCCTCACTGGAGCCGCAGGAGAACTCCATACAGCAGGTGCTGGAATCGCCCCCTTTTACAGCCCGGGAAACCAAGGACCAGAAAGCTCAAGGTCACACAGCCTGTCAATACGGAAGCCAGATTTGACCCTGAGCACTCGGACTGCAGAGCTGAAGTCTGTAACCACCGAGGCCCTCTCGGGGCAGGGAAAGTGTGCCCCTCTGTTGCTCCCTGTTGGCTATAGTCTTAGGGCCACGCCTGGGGCGGGAGGGAGCCCAGAGGCACGTGCCCCCCGGGTGGGTTCCAAGGGGGGAACGAGCCCCAAGACGTTCCCAGACCACAGGAAGGAGCCCAGGATTGGTCACCCCACCGTGCCCACAAATCGTTCACAGGACAATTTTCTCTCCAGATAATCCCCTCGGTCGCCTCAGACACCAGAACCCTGCAGGCCGCAGCCCACACACCCTTTCAACCAGCCTGTAATCGACACAAATGCCCCCGCTGTCCTTTGAAAGTCCCCGGGCACGGACTGTCCCGCTCTGAGGGGAAGGACGCAAAGGGCTCGCTTCCAGGAACATTCAGGGCACGGCCAGGGACATTTTTTTAAACACACGTGAATTGCAGCATTTGCTGTCTTCTTCCACATCCCTCCTCTCTACCAAAGTGCCCATCAAAACTTCCCAGCTGGTAAAAAAAGAAAGAAAAAAGTGGGGGCTTGGCCCTGCCCACCAAGTGACTGGCAGGAGAGAGCAGAAAGACCCTCAACGCGCTGCCTTCTCCCACTCAACAAATGGCCACGCCATGGTCCAGCCAGACACCTGGGGGCGTCTGCGACTCACCTTTCCTTCTCAGCCCTCAGCCCATCCAATCCATATATAAATCCTCTCAGTTCTGCACCCCAAATCCGTCCACCTCTCCCCACTCCCTCACCACTGTCCTGGCACCTGGTACCGCCCTTCTCTCTGAAGCCTGCTCCCCGGCCCCCCACTTGCTCTATTGCTCCCTTTCAATCCACTCCCCCGAGAGATCCTGTCCACACCGACGCCCTCTGAGGCTCCAAATCTTCCACTGTAGTGCTTTGCGGCCACCAGCACGGCCACACTGACAAAAATGGAAAGTGACAAGTGCTGGGGACAAGGGGACACTGAAACCCTCATCCACGGCTGGTGGGGACGTGAAATCGTGCAGCGGCTTTGGAAACTGGCCTGGCAGCTCTTCCAGCGGTTACACAGAGTGGCCTGCGACCCAGCAAGACATACGGAAGGATATCCACGCACACCCAAAACATACATCGTTACAAAGACTGGTACGCAGGTCACCGTGGCCAAGAAACAGAAGTTACTCCCGTCCCTGTTGGAATGGACACACAAAATGTGGTCCGTCTGCATGCACAGTGGGACACTCTTCAGCCACAGAGAGGAGTGATGTTCCGACACACGCCACATCGGGGGTGACCCCTGGAGACACGCTGAGGGGGAGAAGCCAGACCCAGAAGTCACGTGTTGCGTGCCCCCTTCCATGTGAGTGTCCAGCAGAGGCAGACCCACAGAGAAGGTAAGGACAGCAGTGGTGGCCTCCTCCAGGGAAACGATAGGACAGGGGTACAGGGATGGGTTTCTTTTTCGGGTGACGGAAATGTTCTGGAATTAGGTCACAGCAGTGTTTGTACCATATAGTGAAAATACTAAAAAACACTGAATTATATACTTTAAAATGGTCAATTTTATGTCATATGAATTATAACTTTTAAAAATTCTCTCCTGTCCACCTCACTTAGTCATGCCAAGTAAAGCACCCCCCTTTCCCTGTATCACCTGAACCCTCTGCCCCCTCTCCAACCCCATCTCCTGCTTCTCGCTCCTCACCCACCACACCGGCCACGTTCTACCCCAGGGCCTCTGCCCTGCTGTCCCCTTTACCGGCAAAGCTCGTTCCGCGCTTCCTTGGCTCAAACGTCCCCCCTCAGCGAGGCCTCTTCTGACCTTGCTGCCCCCCACCACTTCCTGCCTTGCCCCAACTGATTCCTCATTAGTTTTACCACCGTCCTGTGTATTTCACTTGTTTCTTGTCATTTC